CCTGATGGGTCCATCTTTGGAGCACCATGCAAATTTTGATCAATCTGATTCAGTAAGCCACAAGAAGGGGTATCACCACCAAGGGAAAGCCATGACGACTGACTTGAGCGAATTGCCTTCTGTGTTATCCTAGAAAAAAATTCAATGGAATTTCATTCAAGTGAATCACGTTGCAAGACATGGAATCAAACACAACCAGAAGCTTGGATGGTAAGTTTGCGTTAATAAACCTCTAAAGGGACTAGTATTTTGACTCCTCTACGATGGCTCGCTACCCCACCATGATAGCTTATGTGATAGTTTCCCATCTGCAAAGATGGGTTACATTTGAACAATTCGATCTCGGGAAGCTCCGTTGAATGTGAGGAGGAATGCATCGGCTATGGTGCTGCTGTCGTACGCTTTTGGTGAGATGATTGATGAGAATGGAAGGCCATGGATACCCGCAAGGCTGAGGGGGAGGTGATGTGGCCACTCAAGCAGCCAAGAAGAAGACCAGCTTAGTTGCTTGCCCTGAAATTACTGGAGCGACAAATCAATCAGTGCCTAAGATCGTTCTAGCTCAAGGGTCATAAAGCTTGGAAGGCACGGATCTTGTTAATTTTGTTTGTACTTCAACATTTACTTTTCAAAGAATTGCAACATATGAGATAATCTTCGTTGAGAGTGCAACATTTTCGGTGTCAACTAAAGTTTCTCTCAGTTTCAGGTCTTTCAAGTGCACAATAACAGAGCACAAATATGATGGTGAGTTATGGGGAGTTGAGTCTTTACTACGGGAGGCTTTGGTGGAAAGCAGGGTCTGCACCCCTCAGTTGGCTTCTCCGTCATTCATCGAGTTACCCATTGGGATGAGGCTAGTTTTCTTGTTGATAGTGGCTCAAATGGATCTCTTTAATGGGATTGCCTGATGGGTCCATCGTTGGAGCACCATACAAATTTTGATCAATCTGATTCAGTAAGCCAGAAGGAGGGGTATCACCGCCAAGGGAAAGCCATGACGACTGACTTGAGCGAATTGCCTTCTGTGTTATCCTAGAAAAAAATTCAATGGAATTTCATTCAAGTGAATCACGTTGCAAGACATGGAATCAAACACAACCAGAAGCTTGGATGGTAAGTTTGCGTTAATAAACCTCTAAAGGGACTAGTATTTTGACTCCTCTACGATGGCTCGCTACCCCTCCATGATAGCTTATGTGATAGTCTCCCATCTTCAAAGATTCCCTTATGGAGCATAACTTGCCAACGCTGTGCCGAACGACTGATATATATCATTTAATGGCATAGGAAGCTTCTTATATTTGGTTCACTATCCTTTGTCAAGAGTGTTAGGAACGATTGAAGATTAAACAGAATTTGGCTGAGGCTAAGGAGAGATTGAAGAAAGTTGAGGAAAAGTGGCTTAGTCAATCGGAGCTGCTTTCGACTACTCAAGAGGAAACTTGAATCATGAAACACTGAACGATAGTGATGAAGTTGTAAGATTAGTTTTTTTGTCGAGCTCTACTCCCATCCAGATCATGTAGATCTTCTTGCAGAAGTTCAGATATGAGGTCTCCTTCGGTGTTGGTCTTTTGGCAACGACTCAACTAGTTTACCCAGAATGGACTGATATGGTGGGCCACACATTTGGATCAAGGCCACGGTAGGTCATTGAATGTATAGTTGCTCTTATTTTTATCTATAATTTTACTTGGACTGATTTTTTTTTTGTCTAACACTTCCAAAAAGTATGTTAGAATACTTGTAAGTCACTTTTTGATTATGAATGGAAAGCAAAGTTTTTTGGTCGGCCACACATTTGGATCAAGGCCACGGTAGGTCATTGAATGTATAGTTGCTCTTATTTTTATCTATAATTTTTCTTGGACAGATTTTTTTTGTCTAACACTTCTAGAAAGGATGTTAGAATACTTGTAAGTCGCTTTTTGATTGTGAATGGAAAGCAAAGTTTTTTGGTCGGTCACACATTTGCTTTTGTACTTTATCTTTACTATGTATATTATTTTTCTTTTTTTGTTCTCATAATGATTGAGCTACATTGTAATGAGTGTCCGACTCTGAAGATTGATGATTTGATAAGTTAAGAACATGTTCAGTTGGTCCACTGAGTTAGAACCTGACTGGTCTTACACCACCCATGTCTCAGTCGCTCAATTAGATTGTCGTCTTGTTTGAATTGTACCTTATGCCAGACATATTAAGTGGAGTTTATTGCTATCTTTCGGAGGTAACCATTCAGATTTACTACTGGGGTGATTCATATGCTACCCACTATGGATCTTGTCACTAATGGGTAAGGAATCTGGACACCAAAACTTAACCCATTTTGAGGTATGAGACATGGGTTTTTTATGATGGATAAGCATTGTGGGCCAGATCTTATGCAATTTTTCAATTGGATGTCTAGCATTGTTGTTATTTTTTAAGGAGATTTTATCAATCAGATGCTACCCAACATTATCGGTTTTGCCGTTCGGGCGGAACCACTGTTGACATGTTGTTTCAAGTTACTATTGGCCAGACTCGATGATCCCTTGAGTGAACTTTTCAAATTCCTCAAGTATCGGCTAGCCCTGAAATCGTATGTATAATTAGAAAAAAATTTACACATTCATTTTTATGGAATTGATAATAAAGTATGAAGGTATGAACAATAACACAATTTTATTTGTCAAGATACAAAATTTTTCTTAGAGGTAGAATATATTCATGTCATATCCACTTCACATTTGAGGTACCCTTTTTTTCTTGTAGGTCTTTAGCTTATATGCTCCGGGGGTACCCACTTGTCTATAATGAATGGTTAGGCTGACATCTGGTTGAGTTTCTCCATGGCTTGCCTCATGTGGGTGGGTTGACTTTTTTCAACACAAGATCTCTAGCGGTGAAAGTCTTCTCTCAAATAAGCTCGTTATATTACTGAGTCGTTCATCTATTCACCTCTTCTGGCTTAAGGGCCGAGTCGACTCATTTCTCCTCTACAAGGCTGAGTGCGAGTGTCATTCCTTTGTCAAATGTTGAGGCTGCCACCATTCTTTGATTGTGATGGTTATATTCAACCAATAGCACCGCTTCCATCTCATGTGACAGCATAAATGAGGTTTTTTTGTTCTTCCTGAAAGGTGTCGTTTGAACTACTAAAAGAGTAGATGGTAGAACCTTTGCCCAGATTCCCTTAGTTTCGTCAACATTTTTCCTTTGTAGGTTTAGAATAATTTTGTTGGTTGCCTTGGATTGTCCATTCATTCGAGGATAGCAAACGAACAATTGTTTAGAACTTCAGGTTGGTCCCCTGACTTTCACAAAAGTCCTTCACCCCTTGATCAACAATTGCATTCTGTTGTCTATGACAATTATGAGTGGTAGCCCATATTAACAAATTAGATCAATCCATATGAAATTACGAATGACCTCTATGGTGATCCGAGTTAGTGTTCTAGCCTCAATCCACTTGGCAAAATAATCTATAGCAACAAGCTTAAACTTTTGTTGGCCTCAGGACGGGGAAAAAGCCCAAGAATATTGAGTCCCCAGATGACGAATGACCATGAAATGAAAATGGCTTGTAGTTTTTTTGCTGAATAATATTATACTGGTGCATGCTTTTGACATTATTTACACCTTCTTGATAATCCTTCAGTGTCCTTCTGCATTGTCGACCAGAATTATCTTTGGCGTTATATTCGGTGTGCTAAAGTCATCCCTCCGGAGTTGCTTCCGTATTCTCCTGAATGTACTTCCCGAAGGAAAACATCTGCCTCATCTTTATCTGATGCATCTCAGGTACATTGAGGTGACTGACTTCGAAAAAATTTTTGCTCAATCATAAAATGTTGGGCTGCCTTAATTTTGAAGCGTTTTAGACCGGTTACTTCTTTTGAGACCTTCCCTGTCTCAAGGAATATAATGTATGGATTCAACTAGCTCTTTGATCCTTCGGCTCCCAGTTCCATCGCCTCAGCTTCATCTATGGTCGATCAGACGAGCCTCTTGGGCATCCCCTCCCCCAAGTGGATTTACTTGGATAAGAGGTATGCTAATTGGTTATCTGCTCAGAAGATGTGTCAATCTTAAAACCTTTGAATTTCCCGACCTCCGTTTTGGCTTGGCGGAGATATCTAGCCATAATCTAGTATCTAACTTTGAATTACCTATTTATTTGATTGACCATCAACTGTGAGTCAAATTTTACTAGGAAGTGTCATGTGCCCATCTTGTAAGTGAACCTTAACTCGACAATCAGAGCTTCGTACTTGATTTGATTATTGGTGACTTCAAATCTCACTTCTATCGAGTGGTCTAGATGATCTTTGATTGGATTTGTTAGAGCAAGATCTAGCCTCTCTTGATTTGACTAAATGCTCCATCAATATGAAGGACCTTGGTGTGATTATTGGTAGTCGCTTCTTTGTCAGGTTTGCTCGGCTTTGAAAAATTGGCCAGGAAGTCAGTTATGGCTTGAGTCTTAATGGTTATTCAAGGTATCTATGACAGATCAAACTCGCTGTGTTCTACCAGCCGTCTGAGGAGCTGACCAGAGTTTTATGGCTTAGGGAGGATTTATTTAAATGAATAGTCATTGTTGATTCTGACCGAATGAGTTTAGAAGTATGGGCATATCCTACGAATAGAAGTTATGAGAGAATGTTAATTTTTTCATAATTGAGCACATGTGCTAGGCTCCTCGGAGGACTCGGCTGGCATAGTAAATCAGGAACTGCTTCCCATGTTCTTTTTAGACTAAAACCAAATTGATGCCCTCTATTCTGGCTCTCAAGTACAAGGAGAGTTCTTCATTTAGCTTTGGGCTTTAAAGGAGTGGTGGTGATGCTATTTAAGCTATTTAATTTTTTGAATGCTTGTTCACATTCATCTGACCAGATAAAATTCTTTACTTGCCTCAATGTTCTAAAGAAAGTAGTGCACATGTTGCTTGATTTTAAGATAAACATGTGATTGGACCGGTTAATATTTGGATCTCCTTGTTGTTTCAGGGACATGTTGATCAATGCTTGAACCTTTTTCCGGTTTATCCTTTATTCCCTCCAAGGTTAGAAGATAGATTCAAAATTTTTATGTGGAAGCTCTGATTATACACATGAGAGGATTGAGATTCATATTAATTCTTCTTAAAGTATCAAATGTCTCTTTTAAATCTTTCATATGTTTCTCGAGCATTTTACTTTTCATTGGTAAGTAGCACCAGTATTTTTTAGCACAATTCCCTCGTTAGTAATGAATACAGTCTTTCAATGTTGGCCAGATGTATATTGATCTAATGGTAGTTGGAGAAGGCGTCGAGGAAGCTCATCACGGAATGACCAATTGTTGTTTATACTAGCACGTTATCTATGGTAAGGGGTAACAATTGACACGCGTTAATATTACGTGGTTACCTATCCTTTTTTATGCATTTTACTTGTTATTCATATTTATTTATCACAAATTTATGCTTGAGAAATATATTTTTATTCATGTTGTGCATAATGCAATAACTAAATAAGAACGAGTTGAAACGAGAAAAATCAAGTGACAAGTGTCCTAAAGTGGCGTGAAGACGCCTAAAGGCGGCGTGACCATGCCTCCTATCAAACATAGCCGACGTGACCTTACTGGAATTGGCGTGACCACGCCACTTGCAGTAGTAGGGCGGCGTGACCACGCCACAATCGGGCATGACCACTCCGGCTCATGCAGTCTAGCTGCGTGACAATGCTGACAAGCGGGAAAACACTTGAGGAAGGAAACTTGATGGCCCAAGCCATGATTTTTACCATAAAATCAATTCTTAGTACTTTTTGAAGGGAGTTCTGCTTCAGAGGAATCTTGGAGGCTGAAAGAAAGTTTATGAAAGCTTTTAAGAGAGTTTTTTTTTTTTTTTTTTTATCTTACAAAGCTTTCAAATTCTATAACTCGGATGATTTTGATAGTAA